GGACTGAGGGGCCTTCTGCGCTGGATCTTCAGTTGAAACCTCAATGCTGAGCCAAGTTCAGCCAAGTTCATTCTGGACCCTCTCGTGGTTGCTCCTGCAGGGACCAAATGAAGTAGATGCTTCAGTGTCTGCAGCACACTCAGAATCACACGCCCTCACAGGGGCGAGCTCCAGAACACGTTTGTCTCCCCAGAAGATGCACTTGACATCTGACTGCTTTCCTTCAGCCCCGTGTTCTTGAGGTTCAGCCACATTGTAGCCCGCATCGACTCCTTCGTCATTGTTTATGGCTGGGTAGTACTCCACTGTGTGGATAAGGCACATCTGTTCTTCTCCATTCATTACTTGATGGATGTTTGGGCTGTTCCCACTTTGGGCTGGTGAACGTGCTGCTCTGAACATCAGCAGACAGGTTTTTATTCAGACATGTATTCAGTGCTCTCGGGCACCTGGGTACATGCCCAGGAATGGCATTGCCATCATAGCTCTATTTCCCATTTTGAGGAACTGCCAAAGTGCTTGAACAACTCAGGATGGATGCCCGGGGGTCCCGACGTCTCCACCCCTCTGCCAACCTAGGCACTGGCTGTGTCACTGAGCCGTCCTGGTGGGTGTGGAGCAAGTGGAATCTCACCTTGGTGCCTTGGTTTCTGTTTGCATTTTCCTGATGACGTCGGGCATTTTTTTTTTTTATGTGCTTATCGGCCGAGAGTCTCTTGTTCTTTGGAGAAATATTTATTCAAATTCTTTGCCTGTTAAAAAATGTAGCTATTCATCTTTTTGTAGCTGGGTTGTAAGAATCCCTTACGTACCCTGGATGCAGGTCCTTTAGCAAACAAGGGATTTGAAAACCTCTCCTCTCCTGGGAGGGTCTTTTACCTTTCTAATGGTGTTCTTGGATGCACAGATTTTTTAAATGTTGATGGTTGTTTGTTTGCTGGTGCTCTGTGGGTCGTGTCTAAGAAACCAGTCCTCGGCCAAGGCCGCGAGATTCACACCTATTTCTGGTATGTGGCC